AAAGAGTTCTTTAGGCAAGCCAGGTAGAATGATCGTCTCCTTCAAGCAGACAGACACAAGTGTTCATAAACATGTTCGCGGAATGACTAGTTAATGTTTTGAGAGTTACAGGAGCCGCTTGTCTTACCAACAGTTCAGCGCCTTTCTGGCGAACATCAAGGAACTAAACAACCAGAAGCAAACCCGAGAGGTAAAACCGCGGCCCCCTCGTATGTTTTAAGATTCGTATTCCGAGTGGTATGGTGATCTTCTTCTTCGTCTTCTTCGTCAACACCCCAACTGCCCTGCACCAGGAAACGTTGAAGAATGCGGAAGAGATATTTGGGACGGAAAACAAAGATCTTTACTTGTCCTTTCAGGGACTTCTCAGTCACAGACAGAAGAACGAACACTGATGCCTGAAGGTAAAAAAAAAAATCCCTTGTTTACATGACATGGTCATGCTCATGATCATGATGCATGATCATCCCCGAATGCTGATCATGATGCATGGCATCTCTTTGATGAACAAATGTCTTGAATTCGTCTTTAGATTCACTTCCCCCAAGCAACAACATCCACCACCTGCAGTGGCCCTTGTTTGGACCAAACACAGCTTGCGAGAATAAGATCACTTCCGAGAGTTTTCTTTTCGATTCTGGAAAAAAAAAATTTGTTTCATGTTCTCTTTTTCTCTCAGATTTTGCGTGGAAACCATTTATAATAATAACAATAATAATAATGATTTCTACATGATCATCAGTAGGACGATAAATTTCGTAATGGTAAATTTAATTTTATTACGATAGTATTTAATGATTTTGTTGAAATTTTATAAAATTTATAAAAAAAATAAATAAAATAATGGGGTCTGTGACAAGATTGTTCTCTAAAGAACTAGGTCCGCTCATATGTGGAGGTTCTCTTATTTTATGGGTTCTGGTTCAATAATTCTGTCCAAAAAAGACAAGAAAAAGTCAACCAACGTGTACATAAAAAAATTGAACTAATCAATATACGTATTATGTGTAAATAATTACCTGTATCATATGTGTAGCGATCTGTGGTTAAGTTAAAATCAGGAAAAAATCGCCGTCACGTAAGAGAGGGTCAGGATATAGATGTGAATTGATCAAACAGACGAGACTATATATTATTAATTTATCGTATTTTAATGTTATAAAAAGGTATATATATACGTGTGCATATTATCAAATGCAATTCCAACTTGGCGAGTTTATATGGTTTTGTCAAAGCACGTGCCTTTGCAAATATGATATTTCTCAATCACGCCTATGATGTATACGTATATTAATTATTCATTTAAACTTATCAAATTATATATTGTTTTTGTGCGATTATTTAGTTATGTCGTAAAACAATAATTAAAATTTACGTATTGTACGTAATATGGATATGGAGAGATCATCGTCTGATTTGACGACAATAATGTGTTTTTTTTTTCTTCCTCCAAATAAAATGTAACCATTTAGAAAGTCAAAGTCAAACCTAATTCCATAATTACTTAATTTTCTCATTTTATTCAGATATATTTTCGACACAAACTGAGTGTAAAGCGACGACATCCATGAGTATGTGTGTATATATGGATTCAGAATTTTCGATAAAATTAAATACACACTATCTAAACGCGATATTGTACGGGATTATACTTCATGTTTCAGTGATATAAGATATCTTTTATCCATCGAATATAAAATTCTGAAGAAAAAAAATATAAACTCTATTTTCTTTGAAACTTATAAACGATTCGTATATACCAAATATATTTGGATACCTGGTTACCATCCAACCGTCCATTGTAAACACTTAGATTATTCTTTATAGGTGCATAGATTGTTCAATATGTAATAACTAAATAAACAAAATTGATATTTGTATTTGAATGAGAATGTGCTGCATATATATATATATATATTATAATGTTTTATCGATTGTCATTATTTGTGCAAATAAAAACGTTATTCTAATGGATGGTCCATTTTTTTCAAGGATTTGGTAGATTTGATATCATTAAGGTAATTACTTTTATTATGGTGTGGTAGGGAAGGGGGGAAATGGACTATGTGTCTGTAAAATTTGTTAAGTGAGAAAGGGGCAAAAGGGTTATATTCTGTTTTGTTTGTAAATCTCCCTATGTACTATATATGGTCAACATGCTTCTAGATCAAATTTCTTTTTTTTTTCTTTTGGTTTATATCTCTATATACCTAGGTTAAAATTTCAAACGATTCATACAAATCTCACCTTTATGCCCTTAAATAGAATATATACATATCCGCATAATGTATATATATATATATATATATATATTCGGCTTCACTTTTACTGTTTTGGTTGGATTTATTTCTTAATTTAAGAACAAAATCCTTATATTTCTTCAAATTGTTACAGACTAATAATATGTTAGGTTGGTTTTTAGCGTGAAGAATCCGAGTTTTCCTCAATTGCGTGACTTTAGATTTAATAACAAAGAAACATTTTTTGTATGGATTTTGTGTAAGAATTAACAATGGCTTTGGGTACAACCGTACAATTTACATTGTTATATCTATAACTAATCCTTTCTACAATTACCTGTTTTTTTTTCTGTTTTAATTTTCTAATTTTCATTTGACGTTATATCAAAAATAATTTTCATCTACTATTTTGACTACAGCCTATACTCTTTTCTACATGTGATGATATCATCAAAATTACAATCTGGTCACATTGGTAATAAAGTTAAATTTATAATAATTCTATCAAATGATTAATGTGATATATAATGTGTAAGTGCGATGAATTAGTGTGATTACCATGTGAGCAGACTATAATTCTGATGACATGATAAAAATGTATAAGTTAAAGTCAAAATAGCACAACGGTATTTTTTATATTGGCCCTTTTCATTTCGTGGCATTGGAAGCATATGGGATAATTAAACAAGAGACGGACACGATGCATCTACAAATTAAAGTCGTTCGATGCAAAAATAGCTAAAGTCATTTGTGTGTATATGGAGAAAACAACATGCATTTCACTATATCAACGATTGTACGTATATATATATATATATAATATAAATATTCTAGAGTATTACGATTAATTCTACGGATCATTGTTACGTTGCGTAGGTCCTCACATTCAATGGTTCGCCATGACCAGGAAAAATATGCATGCAAACGACGACGATGATTTGGAGCAGGAAATGTTGATCAATGGTGAGTAGAGAGCCACACACAGACACAAACCGTCATTATTACCAAACAAGAAAGGTCAAATCCACAGACGAAAAGTCAGAGTCTTCTCCCTTGGCATTGTCCCATATCGACCATGTCTGGCCCGGAAGACTTTACCGGGTCGGGTCCATTGAGGATCATCAAGTCAACACCCTTGACCTTGACCAAGTTAGTTTCTTTAAATTCATAAACTCTTTTGTCCTTATAAAATCTTAAACAAGATTCTCTGTCCTTGCGTCTCTCTCCCCCTCTCTTTGTTTGGAAACCTAACCAAACAGGACCAAAACTGAAACCGGACAAGCAAAATCTTAGGGAGTTTGTAAAAAGACCGGACGACGAAGACGATGCTCATCGGAGACAGCATCGTAAATCACAATAACAGACGAGAAGATGACGGCGGGGATATTTTCCCCCTTCCTGGGTTTCGGTTTCATCCAACGGACGAGGAGCTCGTAGGGTTTTATCTTTCGAGAAAGGTGCAGAAGAAATCGATCAAGATGGATATCATCCAGCACGTCGATATCTATAAATTCGACCCCTGGGATATTCCAAGTTCGTACTATATATGCTTCCCTCCCTCTCTCTCTCTCTCTCTCTCTCTCTCTCAAGTTATTTATATTCGCTCGTCGATGTATATATCAACCCTAGTACTGCATATAGATGTACACATACATGTTAACACACGCCTTCGTGAAAGCATGAAATGATCAATTCAAAGATACACATGTATATATATATATATACAAGTAACCATCAATCTTCGCGTATGTGAAAAAAGGATGGAGCAATACGGAGAAGGAGGGTTACTTCTTCTGCAAGAGAGGAAGAAAGTACAGAAACAGCATAAGGCCAAACCGGGTAACGGGATCAGGGTTCTGGAAAGCCACGGGCATCGACAAACCGGTTTACTCGGACTGCAACAAATCCGCTACCGACCAGAGTAATTCGGTCGTCATCGGTCTAAAGAAGACGCTGGTTTACTACCTCGGAAGCGCAGGAAAAGGCACCAAGACCGAGTGGATGATGCACGAGTTTCGCCTCCCCAACACCACCTACGATAACCCTAATTCCACTTCTCCATCTCAAGAAGCGGTACGCGACATATTATTACACTCTTTAAGTTATTGATCAGCAGAATTCCACCCTAGTTTATATAAACTACGCAAATTTATATTGGTTACCTCAATTAGTTTCCTTATGATAATCTGACGTGTTCATGTGATTCATATATATGAATATACAGGAAGTGTGGACACTGTGCCGGATATTCAAGCGACATGTGTCTTGTAAGAAATACACTCCGGATTGGAGAGAATCAGCATCCGCCAAACACTTCAGGCCGCATAATAAAAAACCACACACAAGCTCCGATTCTCTCCGTCAAGAAACTTACATCAACTTTGGCGACATAGACGATACGAATCTTCCAATTCTTCCTTACACCGACGGCAAGAAGAACATTCTCGACGAAAACAAGACGTACGAATATAGGAACATGTTTCATCATTCTAACCAGCTAAGCTCGATGCCTCCTCACGACATGCAGATTGGGCCGACACCGTTACCCGTAGGGCCAGTTCACGAGTTCTGGAACGTTCTAGAAGACAACGACCATGTTCTCTCGTACGGGAACTGGGACGAGCTTAGATCAATGGTTGAATTTGCTATTGGCCCATCTTCTGTCTAGACATTTTAATGCATTATCGTTTCTACGTACGTAAGCATGCTTACGTTCTTGCCTAGGCATTGCTTGCATGCATGCATGCATATAGGGTTTGATTTGGCGGGTTTCGTTTTGTTTTTTTTTTCCCTTCCTTCGTCTGACGCTTCATCATATGTTTATTGCAGCAGTTATGTGTAGATGAACTGATGTGCGATAGAGATAGATAATGATCAACCACTATATATGTGTGTGTATATATTGTATGAAAATGAAATACTCATGTTGGTCGATGTTAATTTTCTCCTACTCATTGAACTCTTGTCACATATAATATGATTCGGTCGAATAATTTTCTCGTATGGCTTTTGGTGAATACAAAATATCCAAAAAAAATATGTGCTAAAAATATAATAAGACGTGATTAAAAAAACATAAAGAAAAATTTTCAAAAGCTTCCGAATTGAAGGGCAGATTAGATTGAAGGCCTGAAGTTGGGCCTCGGCCCATTTAAATTCAAGAAGGCCCATTTCCAGCCCATTAAACGAGGAGCAAAAACCCTAGATCGGAGAATAAGCATATACCCTGGCACCTTGTTCACGTGTATATATTTAGCTTTATTGCAACTAAATCTTTTCCTCCTACGGTGCGCCTCCTTATCCTACTCTCCCTCGCTCTGGTCCCTTGGATCTCTCCAGGTTCGTCCGAATTTCTTGATACTGTCTTTATGGCATTCGATGCTTCTTACGTGTTCTGTTTGTATTTTTGGATTCTGAAGCTAGATTATCTTTGATGTTTTCTTCTTCTGTTGATTATGTTTGGTTGTAGATCTTTGTTTTGTGGATTAGCCGTTATTGATTCGTGTGTTTGGTTTTGAGATGGGGAGATGGTGATGGAGTTGACTTTCTGATGTTGAGTTTGGTTTTGAATCAATCAATGTTCCTTGCATGTTCTGTGGCTTCTAGTTTTGGCTCCAGACTTCGGAAGTTTAAGGTCGTTGAGAAGTCAGTTTCTCTCTGAAAATTTTGTGATTGATCTTGCTGTAGGATGTTGGAGTTTTCTCATATATTTGAGTTCATGTCGTAGACGTCTATCTTTGAATATTAGTTCCCTACAAGACTATGGATTACTGGTCGGAAATGTTTCTGTTGTTTCACTGGAAGCTATGTTTTTGCCGATCTTGTTTTGGTCGTCTTGTCTGAAACTCCTCTCGATGATTTTCCATGGTTGTTTTGTTTTGTTCCACATATGAGGGTTTTCATTTTTTTTTCTGTAATGAATGGTGATGCTAGTGAAAGATAGTTAACGGAGTCCTGATTCAATTCTCTAAATAGTTTGTACTTGTGGTTGCAGGAAATTTTGGAGGTGAAACACAAAGTCTAAGTCAAAATGGTAATCCATCTCTTTAACAGTTTCTCATATTTACCATTTACATCCTTGTCTTGTACAACTTCATCCATCGTATATATTTTTTACCATTCTTGCAGGTGAAGTTCACTGCAGATGAGCTCCGTAGAATCATGGACTATAAACACAACATCCGTAATATGTCTGTCATTGCCCATGTCGACCATGGTATGTTCTGTTTTTTGGTATCATATTTGATATCCGTAAGCATGGAACTGACGGTAAATCAAATTTATCCGTAATTGGCAGGGAAATCTACTCTCACCGACTCTCTTGTGGCTGCTGCTGGTATCATTGCTCAAGAAGTTGCTGGTGATGTGCGTATGACTGATACCCGGGCTGATGAGGCGGAACGGGGTATCACAATCAAGTCGACTGGTATCTCACTCTACTACGAGATGGATGATGCTTCTCTGAAGAGTTACACGGGAGCGAGAGATGGGAACGAGTACCTGATCAACCTTATCGACTCTCCTGGGCATGTTGACTTTTCATCCGAGGTCACAGCTGCATTGCGTATCACTGATGGTGCTCTTGTGGTGGTCGACTGTATCGAGGGTGTCTGTGTTCAGACCGAGACTGTCCTCCGACAAGCTCTTGGTGAAAGGATTAGGCCTGTCCTGACCGTTAACAAGATGGACAGGTGTTTCTTGGAGCTCCAGGTTGAAGGTGAGGAGGCTTACCAGACTTTCCAGAGGGTGATTGAGAATGCTAATGTCATCATGGCTACCTATGAGGATCCTCTCCTCGGTGATGTTCAGGTTTATCCTGAAAAGGGGACAGTTGCATTCTCTGCCGGTCTGCACGGGTGGGCATTCACTCTGACCAACTTTGCGAAGATGTATGCCTCCAAATTCGGGGTTGACGAAAACAAAATGATGGAGAGGCTTTGGGGCGAGAATTTCTTTGACCCTGCCACCAAGAAGTGGACCACCAAGAACACTGGGTCCCCGACCTGCAAGCGTGGATTTGTTCAGTTCTGTTATGAACCCATCAAGCAAATCATCTCCACTTGCATGAATGATCAGAAGGACAAGCTCTGGCCCATGTTGCAGAAACTCGGTGTCACGATGAAATCTGATGAGAAAGAGCTGATGGCTAAGCATTTGATGAAGCGTGTTATGCAGACGTGGCTCCCAGCAAGTAATGCCCTCCTAGAAATGATGATCTTTCACCTTCCCTCCCCTGCCACGGCCCAAAAGTACCGTGTTGAGAACTTGTACGAGGGTCCGCTCGATGATCAGTATGCTACTTCTATCAGAAACTGTGATCCCGAGGGCCCTCTCATGCTATACGTGTCTAAGATGATTCCCGCATCTGACAAGGGTAGGTTCTTTGCCTTTGGTCGTGTCTTTTCCGGTAAGGTGTCTACTGGTATGAAGGTCAGGATCATGGGTCCTAACTATGTCCCTGGTGAGAAGAAGGATCTGTATGTAAAGAGTGTCCAGAGGACAGTTATTTGGATGGGAAAGAGGCAAGAAACCGTTGAGGATGTTCCTTGTGGTAACACGGTCGCTATGGTTGGACTTGATCAGTTCATAACCAAGAATGCTACTTTGACGAACGAGAAGGAAGTGGATGCCCACCCGATCCGTGCCATGAAGTTCTCTGTTTCCCCTGTTGTCCGTGTCGCGGTTCAGTGCAAGGTTGCATCCGACCTTCCCAAGCTCGTCGAAGGCCTAAAGCGGCTCGCCAAGTCGGATCCTATGGTTGTCTGCTCAATGGAAGAATCTGGAGAACACATTGTTGCTGGTGCTGGAGAACTCCACCTCGAGATCTGTCTTAAGGATCTTCAGGATGATTTCATGGGCGGGGCCGAGATCATCAAGTCAGACCCTGTCGTCTCGTTCCGTGAGACTGTCCTCGACAGATCATGCCGTACTGTTATGAGCAAGTCCCCGAACAAGCACAACCGTCTCTACATGGAAGCCAGACCCATGGAGGAAGGTCTTGCCGAAGCCATCGACGACGGCCGGATCGGTCCAAGGGATGATCCCAAGGTCAGGTCCAAGATCTTGTCGGAGGAATTTGGCTGGGACAAGGATCTCGCCAAGAAAATCTGGGCATTCGGACCAGAAACCACTGGTCCCAACATGGTGGTTGACATGTGCAAGGGAGTGCAGTACCTGAACGAGATCAAGGACTCGGTTGTGGCTGGATTCCAGTGGGCGTCAAAGGAAGGCCCGATGGCAGAAGAAAACATGAGGGGGATCTGCTTCGAGGTATGTGACGTCGTCCTCCATGCAGACGCCATCCACAGAGGAGGCGGTCAGGTTATCCCGACGGCAAGACGGGTCATATATGCGTCACAGCTGACGGCCAAGCCGAGGCTGCTCGAGCCGGTCTACCTTGTCGAGATTCAAGCGCCAGAGCAGGCGCTCGGAGGAATATACAGTGTGCTGAACCAGAAGAGAGGGCACGTGTTTGAAGAGATGCAGAGGCCGGGAACACCGCTTTACAACATAAAGGCGTACCTGCCGGTGGTAGAGTCGTTTGGGTTTTCGAGTCAGCTGAGGGCGGCTACGTCCGGACAGGCCTTCCCGCAATGTGTGTTCGACCACTGGGACATGATGGCGTCCGATCCGTTGGAGGCGGGGTCTCAGGCTTCGGCTCTGGTCGCTGACATCAGGAAGAGGAAGGGATTGAAGGAGCAGATGACTCCTCTCTCCGAGTTCGAGGACAAGCTGTAAGCAAAACAACTGCTTCCCTCTCTCTCCTGTTTTGTCTTATTTGTAGTTTCCTTTCTGGTTTCGATGTGTCCGTCGAACGGTTTAGGTTTTTTATTTGGTATGTCCCACCATTGTGTTGTTGGTAACTTATTTTATGGACAAGGGGCGTTTTCCTCGTCTCTTTGTCCTCTGAGTTTGCGCTTTGAGAAACAGCTTTAATTATTCATGTGCTCTTTTTTTTTTTAAATGAATTTTTTCCCGACATTCGTCCACGTCGGATTTTAAGAAATGGAATGACTAACGCTGTGTATGTATTCGTATCACACATGTATATGTATCCATAATTTGCGGCATTGGATTGAAATATCTTGGGCCGCTTATTCATAACCCCAAGAGATGTATCCAATAGAATGAACCTGATGGGCCTAAAACAAAAGCCCATTTAAAAGTGAGGCAGGTCCATGAAGTAACTAATTTTGAACGGCACGTCAAACGCCGTCGTTTCGCCGTAGCACGCATTGGCTGACGTCGTTGGAAGTTTCCGCTGACGCGACATCACCTAGACGTTCAACCAAAAACTTCAACGAGAAGGAAACTAGGTACGTGTGCTTCTTTGATTTTTCTTTTCCATAATTCTACGCGTGAATGTAATGGACTTTGTATATATATATATACATGGCACTGCGTATCATATGAATATCGATAAAATTTCCTTCTTTATTATCTCTGGAAAAACCGATATTCAATCATCAGAAATCAAAATCTTGAAATTAAGGAAACAAAGAGAAGAGGTTTATCAATGGCGCAGTATTACCAGCAGCAAGCTATGACAGGTAATTGTTTGAACTCCACTTCCATATCTATTCTTAATAATGTTATAGTCTTCTTTCAATTTAAGAAGCACGCTTTCTTCTTCTTCGGAATTAAATTCCAATCCTTTGTAAAGAACCCAACGTAACGCGAAACGCAGGAACGTACCCGCCACCGCTGTCGGCACCGTATGAAGCGGCGGCACAACGGCCGTACGTGACGGCGCCGCCGCAGATGGGATATCCGGTGAAAGATCAGCCGATGGGTTACCCTGAAACCGCGCCGCCGCCTTATCACCAGACTCAAAACAAAGGCCTCGGCGGGTGTTTGCAGGGATGGTGCGTATATATATATATACTCTCGATTCTTTCATGTTTATTTATATCGAGTAATTACATCTTTCGTGTAATATTGATGTTTTTTTTTTGGCAGTTTGGCAGCTCTCTGCTGTTGCTGGGTTTTGGATTGCATCTTCTAGTTGATTCTTCCGCCTTCCGTACACTTTCATCTTTTTTTGTTTTGTTTTGAGATTTCTGTGTCGTTGGTGTGTGTATATTCTTTGATGGTTTATGTTGTTATTACATTTTGTATTTAGAAAATAAAATTACTCTATTTGTTTGAAAAAAAAATTATATAACCAATCATATATACGCATGGGAAGAAGAGCAGAGGCGCGTGGGGATGGGCAAATAATATTTGAATCTATTACCCAAAAATATAATATTTAAATGTAAAAATCCAAAAAAAAAGTTATCCAACTTTGAGATGAATTGACATATTAATATTGACCGGTACAAAGAACACACATGTGAATACAAAAAGATATACAAAGGGCACGTTCAAGATTTGCAGCAGACATATCGGGCGAGTCCCTTTGGCGGCTGGTGAGATTGACCATCGTCATCCCCTTCTATCTGGACACAGCTTGATTTCTTATTGTCGGCCTTCTCCTCGTCCTTTGGAACAGTTATCACCGACACTCCGTCCCTCATCGAAGCCTTGATCTCGTCCACTTTCGAGTTATCGGGACGGACCCAACGTCCTCTCCCTGATGACCCATCTATTGTCCTCTCTCTCATCTTCTTCTCCTTTCCCCTCCGTTGTGACTTGCACGACCTTGCCTTGGTGGACTTCGAGTTTCACTTGCTCTTTGGTCAAGCCTGGCAGGTCGATCTCGAAGACGTGGGCGTGTGGGGTTTCTTTCCAGTTCATCTGGCCTTCGTAGAGTCTGTTCCAGTGAAGCAGAGACATATCGGTTTCAGAACCTTAAGGCGGTCGCAGGGCCAAGTCTTTGAGATGCTCGCTGAAGTGGTTTTCCTTCCTCGGACAACTGACGATGTTCTTGTCTGGTTTTGCTCTGCTGAAAATGAGTATTTATAACGCCAGAGGAGAACTCAAGTTCCTGAAATTTCTAGTTAATAATAACAATAATAATAATAATAATAGGGTTTGAAGAAAGAAATCTCTGGGACAAACTGGATTTGTGTAGCGATTAAACTTTGGTCAAAAGTGTTTGATGTGTTCCACTAGAGAGATTTGTAGAAACATCCATAGATGTGGACTTGATGTTAAGTTGCTGATAACTTCAAAAGCATCTCCCCCCAATATACATGCATACGTATATACACACACATATACATATATACATATATATGTTTCGTTTGACATGAACTCATACAAGTTTACACGTAGGCCCATTTGATAGAATCCATATAGCCGTGCCAATATGTGATTACTGAATGCATGTTTTATATTTTTTCATCTCTTCCCCGTTTCGTTGTGTATGTTATGATATTATATATACATACACGCGTTTATATCCCATCTTCACACATATAAACACTCATGTATATCCATCTCTCTCTCTATATATATATATATATATGTGTGAACTTCAAGATCCGAAGCCATTGGATTTGGGGCCATCGATAGTGGTCCTCATTAGAATGGATAAACGAAAAATAAAAGAGGAAAAAAGATTCCCATAGTTGACATGTGGGCCCAAAATAACCTTTCCAGCAGTAGAAATGGGCCTGCTCTCTCAAAGGCCCACTATTATCCATCAATCCAATAATTAAGGGTGGCCAATGCCAATTGACATTAATAATAATAAAAAGCGCCTTGAATTTCTGAGGACGATGACCCACACCTTTTAATTAATTAATTAATCAGACAACTCATCCTCCGTTTTTAAATTACATCCATCATAAAATAATAGTTTTTTTTTTTTAAATATAGCTCTACCGGCAAAGCCTTTCACCGTCAATTGACATTGATAAAACTGCGAATATCCATTGTTTTTTTTTTCATAAATGCAAACGTATCGGTATTCATTTTCATGTGCATCTGATTTTTTTGTTTCAAGTTTTAAAAAGAGGCTTGATTACACGTATATATAAAAACCCGAAAAAAAATTGTTAATGACTTGTAGTTTTTTAATTTAGTTGTTGGTGATATTCGATGTTATTGGTTCCAAAGTATAGGCTATATGTAAATCCTCTCACTCATGGTTTTGCAATCGGTGTAAACACTTATAGGTATGTATTTCATTTGTTCACTAACAATTAATGCCCATTAAAAAAAAAACTAAGGAAGAGATATGCATGAATATAAAATATTTTATATATGTGTAAAAAAAAAGGGGCTAGCTTAAGAGCAAGTAGAAGGAGCAAAAGCGAGAGTTTTGGCGAAAACATCAAACTCCCAGAGATAATTCTGCTGCATGATGTTGCCGATGACGTTGGTGGCAGGAGCCGAGCCAGCCGACACGAACCCCAGGCACTTAACCGAGGGGGCGGCGTCTATGACGTAGCTCTTACGGTGGGGCTCGAACCGAGCCCCGTCCGCGAAATGGAACGTGACCCGCGGCACCATCCTCTCCTCGTCGAACCCGTCCGAGCTGAAGCAGTACTCCATCGGCACCCCCTCCAGTTTCACCATCTTGAACCTCGAGACGTAACCCTGAAGGCCCGAGACGAGCGGCCTGAAAGCGGGCTCGGCCAAGAAGGTGAGGCTGGTCCCGGAATCCAGGATGGTTCCACCGCCTCGGGTGGCGTCCCATACGTGAGGGGGGATGTCGAGAAAGTGGTCATCGATCGAGATTCCGACGAGGTTGACGGCGTAGAAGGGAGAGATGAGATCAAGCTCGAGCCGGGTGTGACGTGTGTGGGCCGAGTGGTTGGAACCAGAGCCGAAGACGAGGTAGTTGGAGACGTTCCGGTGGCTGAGATGGTCGACGAGGCAGTACGAGAACTTGGGCCCGTAGATTTGGTAAGCTACGGAGGCGAAGGAGAAACGGCTGAAGGCTAAACCAAGAACGCCGTCGGCTCTGCGGAAGCTGAGGCCGCTGAAGGAGTGGCTGCAGCCCACTAATACTCCCTTGACTCTGCCCCTCCGGCCGTTGGTCAGCCCCACCGTCACCGTCTCCTCCCCGAATATTCCCTCTGCTTCTGACCCGTCTACGTATCTGCCCCATCATCATCATCATCATCATCATCCCCCCCCGGGTTCATTAATTTACTAATATTAATACCATATCTAAAGTGACAAATGTATGCATGCAACATGTCTCTAGATTATAACAAGAGATTGTTTTCACGCTTTATGCAATTCTGTACATATGTTGTCACGGTAAACAATAAACATGCTCGATATTGAATTTTATATGGAATCCTATGATTGACATGTAAATAATATAATCATGTCTGTAAAATGTCTTACTTTTATTTTTTTTTGTTTTCGAATATTTGCTTTCTAGCGCTAATTATATATATATAAATTAATATATCAACTAGAGTACGTTTATACCTTCATAGGGACGTAAAAAATGTTATAATTGTGAATCGAATAATTGAAATTATTATTTTTTTTAAATGGGGGGTTTTTGACCCTTGAATATAGACAATAATAAGTACAAAGAGAGTCATGTGAAGCACACCTACTCACAATAAAAGACATTTATGTCTTTATGCTGAATTGTAGGTGAAGGGAAAAAAAAAGGTTTCTTTAATTTCCCAGCTAAGATTTCTCTGCTCTTTCATATATCTCTCAAGTCAAATAAAATAAAAATAATCCTTTTCTGGATAATATTACGCTTTTGAACCGAATGGAACTTAGTCTATACTTGATTTTATCAAAGCTTGTTTTTAACGCGAGCACCAAAAATATTGGTTAGTGCGAAAAATGATGTTAAATATTTTATTAAAAAAAATTGATGAAGAATGTACGTGTGTATATATATATATATATATATATATATATATGGTGTTGGTTTTGTGTATAAATAATTTTGGACCGGTAGGAATATAATTGGGGGGCGGGGGGACACGAGTGATAAGCATGCCTCGAACGAGACAATGATATGGTGACAAAGAGATGCCCCCTCCCCCTTCTGTATCTAATGACGACATGTCAATGCATCAATCTTCTCAATTATAACCATCAAAGTTTCAGAATTCGCATTACATTTGGTTTATAATTAAAAAAAAAAGTGCTTACTAACTTGAATTATGTCTCCTAAATGAACATCTGACGTTCAAATAAACCCCTTTCATATAATTAATAACTATTTTTGGTATTAATCTTTTTGTGCTTAATTAATCACATGCACGAGTTTCATTCCATAGCTTTCTAATTACACCAAACTCTGAAACACACCGCCGTTAACTACGCAACGATTTTTTTTTAACTAATGTGTGACTAAGTCAACTCCTCATATGCTTAAAAAACACATCAAAGCAAAACACTTTTGATAGACATTAATGGGGCGCGTTGGTAACACCCAACACATTTTTCTAATGTTATGAAATATCCCTATATATATATATATATATATATATATGTATGCAGTCCAAAGATACGATATTTGGCTTATATTTAGAGCAAACAAATATTTCATCACGATCATAAAGCTAGAATGAAAAGTATGTATTATATAGCATCGCATATTCATATAATTAGAGAGTGATTAATTAAGCGGGAACTATATATATATAAATTTGTTTATGATGATGATGATGATGATGATGTGTGAAAAGAGAAAATACCTGTAATGGTAGGCGCAAGGAGAGGAGGGGGAAGGGCATGTGGAGAGAGAGAAGAGGTTCATGAGATCAATCTTACATGTCTGAGACTCGCAGGCCACCGTACGGAACGACGACGACTGGTCGGCCCGGAACACCCGCCGCCGCTTTCTCCGACGTTCCGTGCAGTTTCTCCGGCATCCGTAGCGGCAATTCACCCACGTGAGCTCGCTGCCGGTGTCCACGACCACCGTGAACTTCTGCGACGGCGTCCCGACCCGCAGCTCCGTCAAGTACTGACCCGTCCCGAAATCCCTCCCCGACCCCAACGGCATCTCGACGGCGCCGTCGGAAGAGAGACGGCGCTTGCGGGAGATGAGGGAGTGACGGTTGACGTCGTCGCTGAGAATGTCGCCGATGAAGCTCACCGATCGCCGGCGATATAGTGGGAGGGGGGCCGCCGGCT